ATGTTAATATATGAATATATTGAAACATTTAATTGTTATTGTATTTATAACTAAATTTAAATAATCAAATAATTGAGATAATTATAAATTAACATTAAATCTATAAAAACGATTATTTATTTTTTAAATTAAAATTTTTTTCATATAATATATACTCTAATATAATAATATCAATTTTATTATTATTAATTTTTATTAGCTACTAGCTATTAAAATTTCTACATATTATACTTTTTTAATCCCTAAAGTAAACAAAAATAAGGATAAACAAATAAGTATATGCGGTTAATGAATAACATGTATATCACATGATAATAAACATACCGTGATTTTCACTGTTTTTTGTCTAAACTGACTGGTATAACTTTTTTAAATAATGATAATACAGAAAAAAACAATAGCAAAATATAAAGGAATAATATAAATTGATATAAAAATGTTTACCAAAAAAATAAATATAATTTAAATAAAAATAATTAAAAATATTTAATTAAATTAAATTAATTATATTAAAAATGAAACACAAATTATTATTAATTAAAAAAATATTGAAAAAACCTAATGTTAATTTAAAACTAAAAACAATTTTGAATAAAAAAACGATAAAAGGTAAGTTTTTATAATATAAATAACTATTTATTAGCAAAATATTTTTTTCTATTTATAAAGATGATTTTTATTTAAAAATGTTAAATATTTTCCTTTATTTTGTAATTAAATATTGCCTGTGTTTATGATAATAATCCATTTTAAATTTATTAATTATTTAATATATTTTTTTGGCAAATTGTTAATTTTTGTATTTGTATTCTACTAATCTTAATTATTTTTAGTCATAATTAATAAGTCTAGACAAAAAACAGACAAGTATTAAAAATTTGTATAAGTTTTATTTTACTAATTTTTTAAAAACCGACATAATTTATTTGTTAAACTTTATATATAGAATGGTAGAAATTTTTTTGCAGAAATTTGAGGGCTTTGTTAGCTAGCTAATTTTATTTAAAATTATTTTTTTATTTTAGGCTAGCTAATTAATTTAAAATTATTTTTTATTTTAACTAGTTAATTAATTTAAAATTATTTTTTTATTTTAGCTAGCTAATTAATTTAAAATTATTTTATTTTTTTAGGAAGGTATGGGATGGGTAGGTCATAAATTTATGTGCTCATATATATATATATATATATATATGTGTGTGTGGGCTATTGATACTTACTTGCTCTACCGGTACACAGACAAAACAATATCCAGGTAACTGCCAGTGCAAAACTAAACTTTCCCACTGTAAACCATAGTAGGACTGAGTAGAGGGGTGCCGATCGTTGGACTTTCCAAAAAGTATTACTCCACATATAGACAATACAAATAGCCGATAGACTCGACAGCCAACCGACCACTTCGTACTCAATCCTGAGGCCAGACCAGTCCCGTCGGATTAGATAACCGCCGGTTACACCGGTAACAAAACCGACCAGATATTGTGTGGTCGACAAGTGATACCAGCTAAAGGACCGGTAGATTTGTTCAGTCGAGTCCATTTGTATGTATTGCATTTGCGGTAGTATATTGTAGACGAGGGCCGGCAGTACCGATACGACCATTCCTACGGCTAGTACACCGCAAGCTAGATATAGACCGCGCCGGGAGTTACGGTGATAGACGATGACAATCATGGGTACCAGTATGTGCAGCTGAAACAGGGCCGACACAAACCAGGTACTCGGGTTGCACTGGTAGGTGTGATGTTTATTATTATTATTATTATTATTATTATTTTTAAAAAAATATATTCAAAAAAATATATTTAAAAAATTATATTTAAAAAAATATATTTAAAAATAATATATTTAAAAATAATATATTTAAAAAATATATTTAAAATAATATATTTAAAAAATTATATTTAAAAATAATATATTTAAAAATAATATATTTAAAAAAATATATTTTAAATAATATATTTTAAAAAATAATGTTTATATGATTAAAAATTTTATTATATGATTTATAATTTAAAAAATTTAATTTTGATTAAGATTACTGGTATATTATAATGATAATAATTAAAAATTTATAAAATCAATTAATATATCATTTTTATTAATTTAATTTAAATATAATATTAAATTATTAATAATACTCAAGATATTTAATTAAGATATAAATTATTATTTTTATATATATAAATATTATATTTAAATTTCAAAACATTTATATCAATATGTACAACTAAAAATTATATTATATTTTTTTTGGTTTGTTTTAATCAGTTATTTAACTAATTTATTATTTAACTATTTAATTAATTATTTATTTTATTTTTTTCTATTATTAAGATTAAAAAAAAATTTTGGATTAGTATTGTTGAAAATTATAAAAATCATATCAAAAAGTATAATATACTAGACTATTGTTATTATTTTATATATAATATAATAAAAATGTATAATTAAATAATTATAATTTAATACATACATAGGGAACAGCCTGTTGACGGTCCATAATACCCAACTGATCGTTATAATTGCCAATAAATAGAAAACCAAACAGTACTACTTGCCAATTTTCGCACCCCCTGGTCACCCATTGTACGCCCTCGTCCCAAATCGGACCACTGCCCATCAGGGGCAGTACAAACAAAAATATAATTGATCCCAACAATGGTACAGCAAACCGCAGATAACGGGTTAGTATGTATTTGAAATAGTTGAATACCCTGGTGTTCCCCCCATTACGTTCCAGTTTACTTAGTAGACTATTTGATAGCATAAAACCACTTTGAAATTTGGGAAAGGTAGGTAGGTGTGTGTGTGGGTGTATTTAAAAAAATAAATAATTAAAATTAATTAATATTAATTTAAAAAATATTTTTAAAAAATTTGTTAGTTTTTTTGTTTGTTTTAATTAAAAATTTATATCTAAATTGAAAATTACTATTATTTTTGTTTTTTTCATTATTATAATTACAATTTAATACTTAAATATTACTTAATAACAAAATTGTTTTATTATTATAAATATTATAATTATTTATAGTTTTTTAATTAGTTTATTAGAAATACTAATTAGTATTATTTTAAAAATATTTTTAAAATTTGTTAGTTTTTATTTATTTATTTTTTTGTGAATAAAAAATTATATATAAATTGAAAATTACTATTATTTTTGTTTTTTTTCATTACTATAATTACAATTTAATACCTAAATATTACTTTAACAACAAAAAAAATGTTTTACTATTATAACTATTAAAATTATTTGTAGTTTTTTTAATTAGAAAATAATAATTATTATTATTAATATTATTAGTTTAACTATTTATTTGACTGCTATTATATACAGTATAATATTAATTAAATATATTATATTTTAATAAAAAAAATACTAACAATATATCAACAAAAATTTTTTTTTATATAATTTACTATTTAATTTCTTATATATATTTCATTTAACAACAAACTAATAATTTTCAATTTAGATAACTTTTATTATACTTTAAAAAAAATTGTCAATAATTATACAATACTAGTAGTAATACCATACCTCATAATAAATAGTATATCGAAAAACAATGTATTCCTCAATGTTGTATACCTGTCCAGCTCCAGTACCCTATAGGGATAGGTAGCGTAGGCACGTTTCAGGGTAACTATACCGATGGTAGCCATTGTATTATACAAATGAAATACATAGATATGCATAATGACAAACAACCGGATGGTGTCCAACGAAACAAACCGATTATTATTAGGAGTATTGATTGTTTTGTTTCGATGGCTACCGTTCCCTGAGGAGGACGAGTAAGAGGAGGAGGAGGAGGACGGGTAGGCTAACAGTTCCCGGGTATTGGTTACCAATGAAAACGTATAGTAATAGGGACTGATAACCAGTGGATCCTCTTCGACAAACTTGGTATCCGATCCCAAGGTCTGGCTATCATCTGATAGACTACGCTCGTAGACAATGTTATAGATTTCGATACCCGTCGACGTTATGGTCAGTATTGTCAGCACTACTAGTGTCATACTATATATAGTGTGTGTGTGGGAGGGGTGGGTGTATGGGAGGGTTGTGTAAACATATGAAAAATAAATAATTAATTAATTACTAGTAAATGCATATAAAAAAAAATTTGAATAAAATTTTTTGTTTGTTTGTTAATATTAATATACAGTATATCATATATATATATATATATACTGTATTTATATATACAGTATATATACTGTATATATTACAATAGTTATGTTTTTTTTGTTAAATTAAAAATATTTACTATATCTTTTTAAATATTAAATTCATCAAGATCATTTTCAAATATTTCATTATTATAATAATTTAGATGTAATTTTTTTTTAGTTTAAAAACTAATTAATTAATTAATTAATTAATTAAATTAGATATATATTAATAATAATTACATTGACAACAATTGCATCAGGGTATAGTCCTCTTGTTTATCATTACGTATACAGTGTCGGCCTAATTCAAGTGGCAATCTGGTTATGGGATACATAACTGAGGGTGTTGTGGGGGGGGTGTAGGTGTAGGTGTCGTCCGGTTTATAATACAACAACAACACAAATAGCAAATTAATTAATTATAATTAAATGTTAAGTTTGTTTGTTTGTATATAAAAACCATACATACCTTTATTGATAAACTCCTCGATTTCATTGCGCTTACAATAGTGAGGTGTGCACAGTCCTAACCGATAGGTCGACCCCCGATATAGATTGAGGTTTTCAATCATTTTTACAATGGTAGTCGAGTTGGCACCGTTAAAATATTTGAACGGTGCTATACCTTGGTCATCAAATAGGGGATCGTAGCCATCCCCCGGGGTATATGAGCCAACCTCTGGATAGGGTAGTACAACTTTGACCAAACAATACTGGCCTTTGACTACCAGACCCCTGTCCTCAGGGCTTTCGATGGCCAGACATTCGTCGTATTCGCCAAAACTAGAGTGTTTCCCATCGGCCGTTCCCGTCTCCATAATCCGACCCATTGTATCCATAACTACATAATTATAAATAATTATTAATTATTAATTATAGACATAAATATTATTTAGAAATTATGGAAATAAATAAATAATTTTTTTCTGGGTGGGGTGGGGGTGGGGGTAATAAACAAATTGTTTATATAAGCTATTATTAAGTAGTTATTTTTTTCAAAAATAATAATATATTTTTTTTAATTTAAAATAATTTTAATATTAAGTTGAAGTTTAATATAATATTAGATATAAATTATAGCAAATTTAATCCTAATATTAATATAGTTAAAAAAATTAATTTAATAATAGATTTTTTTTTAATAAATATTTTACTAATTAGATAAATATATTTTTTTTTAAAAATGTAATAAATAGTTATTTTAATATTTGGTTAATAGATAATTAAAAATAAAATAATTTATATTATTTTATATTTATTATTATATCGTATCTATTATTTATTAAATCTATGGTTTATTTAATAATTATAATAATTTTATATTTAGCTTAATGTTTGCAGTTAATGTTTAACAATTATTGTCAATTGTTTAAAATAACTAACATTACCTAGTATCATTGATAAAACAAAATTTAACAAGTATATTTATTACATTCAAATGCATTCAAGTGTTAGTTTAATTTTGTGTAATTTATAATATATTATTAATTTATAGAAATATTATTATTATTATTATTATTATTTTTGATAATATGTATTAAGTTTCAAATAGCGTGATTAAGTTTTTTTTATTTAAAAAAAATAAGTTAACATAAAAATATTAATTTTATTGATAAAAACTAATGATAGATACAGTAAATCATATTAAAGTTAATAATAATAATAATAATTGATTAATTGCTAATTATTATTATTGTAATTATAACCAAAAAAAAATACTATAGTAATAGTAACCTTGCTCCAAAAAATAAAAATCAAATAATAATAATAATGAATGTGTAAGTTTAATTAGTAAGTTAACTATTCAAGTATTATTATTTTTATTTAAATTGTTTAACTATTAGTGTACCCATAATTATAATGTTAATTAAACTGTTTGTTTGTTTATTTTGTTAGAAATTTGAATTAAAATTTAAATTAAATAAAATTTAAATGAATAAATAGTTGAAATTTATTCATAATTATTATTTTGTATTTAATCATTTTAGTTATTTATTTATTTTTTTGTTAATTGTTATTTAATTGTGTATTATATTTATATTAAAAATTTATCATTATATATAAACTTTATATAAATTAATATTATTTTTTTTATCTATACTATCTATTTATTATGTGACACACACATACATACACACATATACACACATAAATACACACACACACACATAAATACACACACACATAAATACACACACACATATATACACACATACATACACACATACATACACACATACATACACACATACATATACACACATATATACACACAGACACACACACATACATACACACATACATACACACATACATACACACATACATATACACACATATATACACACACATACACACATATACACACATATACACACATATACACACATATACACACATAAATACACACACACATATATACACACGTACATACACATACATACAATTGATTGCTATTGTGATAACTAACATAAATAATAATAATTTCATAGTAGGAAAAATATTAAAATGATAATACAGTTTCATTACAATTTTATTTTTCTAGTTCAAGTTTATTACCTAAATATATTTATTTAATTGAAATTTACTAATACAGATATCAACTAATATTATCTTTTTTTTCAACAAAAAAAAATACAAACATACACACACACACACACACAGACACACACACATACAAAATAATTATAATAATCTGATTTTTTAAACATTTATCAGATAACAAAAAAAATAATAATATGATATTATTTAAATTTTTACTCAATTTTTACTTAAAGATAATAACATCAAACAAACAAATAAAAATTGTAATTTTTACAGTATTATTATTATTATTATTATTATTATTATTATTATTATTACATATATAATATACAGTAGTAAAATAAATACAATATTTAATTTATAAATGATTTATTACATATCTATTATACACAAAAAGTAAAATATTTTACAATTAATATTATTTTTTTCAAAAAATACTTTATATATATATATATATATATATATATAAACTGTGGTATTAGTAATAATAATAATAATTTTAATTAAAAAATAGTTTTTTCTYTCATTTTAACAATTGATTATTGATTGTGTGTATGTGTTATAGTTATACTTTAATAATAATAATATTAATTAATTTTATTTTTACAATTATAATTAATAAATAATTTCAAACAAAATTTATTGCGTAATTTTAGTATATTATATTATTATTATTATTATAATAGTTGTATTACTATTAGTGTCATTTTATAAAAGTTATTGTATTATTTTTATTTAATAATAATAATAATAACACAAATTTTTATTATTATACTGTATTAATATATTACTATTATATATATATATATCAAATAATTTGTATAAATGTTTATTTGAATATTTATTACCAAAAAAATAAAATTGCGCTAACATTTGATAAATTTGATGCAATTTACTAAATTAAAGATTATATATATACAGTATATATATTTAATACAATTTAAATATTTTTTATTTTTTTTAAATATATATATATATAATCTTATTAAATAAATTATTAGATATTTTTTTTTTAATTTTATTTGTTATATAGTGTTGCTATAAAACCTATAAATTATTGTATTAACTAAATTACTCAAATAATTCATATTACAGTTATATATATTTAAAATTATTTTTTTTAATAAAAAACATGAAACCTTATCCATCATTATCAATCTAGATTTATATATTTATTTAAAAAAATAAAATAAATATATTTGTTTAGATTTTAATAATGATAATAATTAAATTATATATTATATATATATATATATATATTAAAAGGTAATATACATATAATGGTTAAACATGCAAAAAAAATAAAATAAAATTATAATAATAATTTAGACACCAAAAAATTATTATTATTATTATTATTATTTTATTATTATACAATAATTATTATTTTTTTCTTATAATTAACACTTAATTATTTATCATTATTTGATTAATATATAATATAAATATAATATTTAATATTTTATTTATCATATGATATATATATATATATATAAATATAGTGATCTCATTTTCATTATACAATATATATAAATGAAACACAAAAAATCCCATTTAGAAATAAATAGTAATATATATATATATATATATATATATATATATATATATATATATATATATATATAAGTTTTGTTGAAATATTTGATGCAATTATTGATAGGAAAATTTTTTTTTAATGAAATGCCAGCCGAAAGGCATTTTTAACTTTTAAATAATATTAATAATAATAATACAAACATTACATATGGTATCTGTAATATACATATGTTGTATATACAGTGTATATATATATATAACAATCATACAATTTATTGCATAACATATATATAGAAATATATATATATATTTATATGTATTATATATATATATAAACCAATTGTAATAGCATTTGGTTTTTTAGTTTTGTTTTGTTGTTTTGTTTGTTGAAAAATTGTTTTAAAAGTGTTTTATCTTTTTGCTCTCATAAATCAATTTAAACTATTTTTTTTTTGCTTTTATATATATATTTGTTTTTTTTGTATTGTTATTATTATTATTACATATATATTATACAGTGTTTCAAATGAAACACACAAATAAATAAAAAAGTTATTGATTTTTGTTGTTGTTAATGTATTATAAATAATAATATTATTATTTTATTTTATTTATTTATTTTTTGTATGTGTATTTCTATCTGTCTATCTATTTATCTATCACTCATTCATTATATAATAATAATAATAATGGTTTAAAATTTTTTTAAAAAATATTTTACCAAAAAATAAAAATAAAAACCTGAATAATATTTTAATTATTGTATATTTATTTTTTTATAAGATTTTATTTTATTATTGATTTTATAATATATATAAATATTTTAAATGTTTTTTTTTGTGTGTGAATAACTTATATATAATAAAAATTTTTGTTTAGTATTAATACAATAATAAATGATTCAAAGTTTTTTTTTTGAATTTATTTCAATAATTTTTTTTTATAGATAATAGTAAATTGTAAACAACAAAAAATTAATTTAAATATTTGTAAAACATATTAGAAATTTTTTAACAAATAAATAACAAATTTAGTATCAATATATAATAGCAAACAATATTTATATTATTATTATTATTATTGCTACTAATATATTGAAACTATTATTTATTTTATTTTACAAATAAATAATATTTAAGTTATTGTTGTGTAATAAGTATTTTTTTTTTGTAAATAATAAAATATTTTGTAATTTATTAATTGAATTTTTTTCTATAAAATAATTTTATTAACGCGTATTTCAAATTAATTCAAATGTTTTTAATTTAATAAATGTAAAAAAATATTTTAGTTTTTTAGTAAATATTTAATCAAAAAAAAACAACAACAATTTTAAATGATATTTTGTTGTTGTTGTAAAATTTGATTAAATTTTTTAAAAATATTTATTGACAAACTGTTATCAATTTTATTTTTAAATTATATTTTTATTGTTTAGTATACACCACTAATATTACATAAATTTAATTAAACAACTAATAATAATTAGTATATTAATTGAAATTTTTAGATATAATAAATATTTATAATCTATTAATTTTAAAAATTATAAATTTTTTTAAAAATTCAATGTATAGAAGTATATATTTTTATAATATTACATTATTATTATTATTATTATTATTATAAGTATTAGTATTAAATATTTATAAAAACTTTAAAAATATATAAATATATGCTTTTAGTTATCAAAAAAATATTACAATTATTTTTACTTAAGTATTTTATTAAATAATACTAAAAAAAATTGGTATAATCTATAAACAATTATTTTTAAAAACCTACTTAAAAACCCATTATTATTATTAGTATTATTATTATCCCCCATTAAAAGTGTATACTAAAAATAAATATATAGTTAATATAATAAATATCTATATATTTTTTTTATTTGCTTAGTATTAGTATTATTATTATCGTATATATTAAATATATTATATATAAAGTATCATATGATTTCGTATTATATTTAATATAGCAATTATTATGATAACTATTATATCAATATATACTAAAAAATTATATTAAAATAATATATATACTATTAATAATTGAGTTACCAAGATATCATATTTTATATATATATATATATATATATATATTATATAATATATATATCAAATATACTGGATATTATATATATATTATATTTGAGATATCATTTTTTAAATATTTATTTAAAATTAAAAAATATTATAAAATAATCATATGTTAAGTGATTATGTGTTGTATAGTATACTGTATAAGATAATAACTACAACAAAAAATATTATAATAATAAAGTTATTGTATATAAAAAAATAATTAATTATTTTATCATTTATAAAATCATTGATTTAAATTAAAGTAGGCTTTAATTTTTGAATTATTATTTTGTTTTTAAAAAATAATATATTATTAAATATAATTTTTAAATGATATGTAGTATATAATTAATTTTTGTAATATACTGTATATTTAATAATTGATAAAATTAATAAATATAACTATAATTTATTCAATTTTTAAAAAAAAATTTAATTAATGTTGTTGTACTTGAATTTATAATTTATTTTTTTTTGTATTAAATATATTTAGTAATAAAATTTTAAAATATACAAATAGTAGTTTTTTTTTAAATAAGTGCAATTATTTTAATTTATATATATATATTCAAGGTTCAATAATTATATATATGATATATATTTATTTGTCAATAATTTTTATTAACAAAAATCAAATCAATAAATTTTTGTTGAAATTTGCACCTAATAATATTTCAATTGAAATTAGCTATAATAAAAATTATTTATCATATATATCATATATCTAAAATATTATTTATTATTATAGCTAATTTCAATTGATTATTATTAGGTGCAAATTTTTATAGATTTRATTTTTGTTAATAAAAATTTGATTTACATATATATATATGATATTAAAAATTATAATTATTTTTATTTTTCAATTAAGTACATATGAAAATATTTGTTTTTTTAAGTGCATTTTATTGTCAATCATTAATATTTATATATAAATATTTTTATTTTTTTTWAAACAAATAATTAATTCAACTGTATATACCTGTATATATTATATGAATTATTTACTAATATATATATATATATATAAAACTATAATTACTAAATAATAATAATAAAMTGGCCAACTATTCAAGGATTAGCCTTGATTAGTTTATTATTATTTTTTAAAAATATAATTATTATTTTATAGATAATCAAATAATATGAATAAAATAAAATTTTTAATTAATTTAAATTTAAAAAAATAATAATAATAGTAATTTACAAAATTTATTGAAAGTTATAAAATTAGTACTAATAATGTAGTATTTAGTAAACAAAAAAAATTATATTTAAATTAAATGTTTTAAAAACTTTATTATTTAAATATTAGTATTATTTATTAGTTTTTTTGTTGTTATAATAATATACATTTATTTTTATTTTAAAAATAAATGCTAAAAATATATCAAAAATATTTGTAATGCTTTTAATAAATTTAATAAATTATTTCGTAAAAACATTTTTAGTTTATTTATTTTGTTATTTTTTTTTAAAAAAAAATCACTAATGTAGTTTGATCAGTCTATATTAGTTTATTATTTTATTATTTATCAATTTAACTTTAATAATAAAAAAATATTGTATATCTATTTATCTATTACTTATATATATTTTTTTACTATCAATATAATGTAGTCTATTATTATTATTATTATTATTTTTTAATAGAAAATAAAAATCAATAAATGATTTTTTATATATATCTAAATATATAACAAATAAAGGGTAATTGATTTTACAAACATATACTGTATATATCTATACTATAATTTATACAATACATAATGTATACAAATATATATATATAGATAGATAGATATGTTATACTTTAATGGATGTTTATATATATTTTTATATTAATAAATTTGTTTTATATATATATATATATATATATATATTAATCATATATTTTTTATACAGTATATTATATAATAGTTTAATATAGTGGAAATTATTATAGTTTTATTTCTAAAAAAAATAATTGACCCTAGGTAATATTAAATTTCATAAATTAAAAATTAAAACAATAATAATAATAATCTACAATTTTGTGTGGGTGTGTATTTGTTAGTGGGTGTGTGTGTGTGTGTGTGTGTGTGTGTGTTTAGATAAAATCAAATTTATTATTATAAAATATAGATAGATTTAAATATTTTTTTAAAACTATTGATTTATAGGTGGAAAAAAAGATAATAAATATCATTAATTTATTGTTAATTTATATAAATAATTTAGTTTAAAAACTTTTAATAGATTTTTTTTAAATAATAATAAATTACTGATAATATTGATAGAGATTTATTATTATTGATTTTTTTCTGATATAAAAAATATTGAGAAAAAAAGTTTTTTTTATTAAAAAAAATAATTAAACTCTAATATTGATTATTAAAATAAGTGATTTTATTAAATTTAAATAATAAGAAAAAATTTCTACAATTTCTACTATAGTTTAATCTAACTATTAATATATATATATATATATATATATATATACTTTTTAGGCATAGTTCATGTTAAGACGTCCAAAAAAATGTATACAATATAATAGTAATAACATAATATTTACAGTATATAATAATAATAAAAAAACTAATAATTTGTTTGTTTGTTTAGTTGACTATCCATTAACATATCACACACACACACCCCTCACATATATATATTTTCAAACCACCCAACCCCCCCATAACCCACATAATTTTATCGGGGGTAACGTCCTACCTAGTATCAGTTTAAATATAATATATATATAACTGTATATATTTAAACCTTATATATATATATACAGTATTTGAACTGATACTAGGTAGGGCGTCCCCCCCCCCAGATAAACTTATGGGGATTTATTTGGGGGTAGGGGTGTGGGGAAAATATGAAAAATGTGAGGGGGGATAAAAATAATATATATATGTTATTATCAATAAATTTTTTTTTTTAAAAATTACTAAAATATAATTTTTTTTTTTTAAATAATTTCCAAATAATACATACATTTATTAGCCCATAGTTTATTGTTTCGGAGGCCGGATATTAGGGAGAAAAAGGAGGCGAAACACTCGGGACTCAATACGATATCAATACTGGAAACAAATGCCAACAATTCGGTATCGAAACCTTTTTTCGGTGCAAAATAATCCCTATATAATTGGCGCACGTGTCGGATACGTGCAAACGTATCGTTAATATGTGGGACACGTTTGCTAAATGTTAAGTTTTTATTCAGCTCATGTATGGCAATCATTTTCGATAGGACACCCTCGTTGTTATTGCCGCTATCACATCCCTGTCCACCACCACTACCGGAGCCATCAATTTCTTCGTCATCGTAACCAAGATCTTCATCGTCGCCGACAAACGTATTGTTTGTTGTTGTATCGGTAGTATCGGTACTACTAGTGCTGGTGGTGTTAGCACTGGTATTATTGCTGGTACTATTACTGGCCTGTAGACTACCGGTGCTGTCATCGGTGTCATCGGTATCATAATTGACAAACGATATCAGTTTATCAGCATTGTTTGCACTGTTAGTATAGTTATTTAGGTTATTAGTATTCACACCATCAATACTACTGCCATAATCATCAATGTCTTCATCAATCAGTAGTTTAGGTCTTATAAGTCTATCATCACTACTATTATTACTATTACTATCACTTGTTGTTGTTGACCTACCAGTGCTTATTAGGCTAACTATTGTGGTTACATCACTACTATTAGTATAATTATTATTATTGCCAATAATTTTGTTAGTTGTTGTTGAGTTTGTTTGACAAAACACTACATTATTATTATAATAATTATTTAGATTAACTAATATTAATAGTAATAAAAATAATAGACTACTACTAAATGATTGACACAATTGTGCCAAAAAATTGTTTGTTTTGACATTCAAGCACTTCATCACTAATTAATTTAATTAATTGATTGATTTATGTATTTATGTATTTTTTTAATTAATTAATTAATTTTTTGTGTAGTTTATAATTAATATATCAAATATATTAATTATTTTATGTTTTCACAATTTATTATTATTATTATTATTATTATAAAATAATGTTGTAATCAAAACTATTTGATGTGTAAATAATTAAATTATTTAATATATATATATATATATATATATACATAAAATACAACACAACAAACAAACAAAAAACCACTAATTTATTATTAAAAATATTAATAATATTATTAATAATAATTTTTTTCAATCAATAAAACAACTAAAAAAATAATAATATATGATATAAATATATTTTTACTATAAAAAATGCATTACAAAAACTATAATAATAAATGAAAAAATATTTTTTCACATTTTATTCCTCATATTTTTTGGTGTAAATTATTATTATTATTATTACATTATATATATATATATATAATAAACTCAAGCATAACATGATATGTGTGGTATATTTGATGACATTTTATTTTCACAGTAAAATAAAAACTAAAATTATATATAAATTTAAAATATATATAATATATATTATAATATAGTGTATATATAATATATAAAGTTTAAAAACACATTTAACTAGTGAACAACAAATTGCTAATAATTTGTTAAAAAACAATTTAAACGCAAAAATTTAATGTAAAATGTAATGTCGTGTATATAAGTGTATAGTTTGTTGGTATAGTAGTTGTTGTTGTTTTAGTAATGTTGTTGTTGTTGTTGTCGGCATGAAATACCAGTGCTTACTAGTAGTAGTAGTAGTAGTAGTAGTAGTATAATATGTATTAATGTTATGGGCTATTACTACAGTATATGCTTATGTGTTTTTTCAACTGTATGTTTGCCTATCATTGGCATCATTTCTCTCTCTCTCTCTCTCTCTCTCTCTCTCTCTCTCTCTCTCTCTCTCTCTCTCTTTGCATTTAAATATCTTGCAGAACCACTTTCACCATCACTGGTATGGTATGCCATAACAACCTACCAGTGCTGCTGGTCATATAGTTTATGTGTGTGTGTGTGTGCAATGGATATACCTTATTATTTTACTAGTGTGTGTATGTGTGTGTGTGTTTGTGTGTGTATGTGTGTATGTGTGTGTGTGTATGTGTGTGTGTATGTGTGTGTGTATGTGTGTGTGTATGTGTGTGTGTGTGTGTGTGTGTGTGTGTGTGTGTGTGTGTGTGTGTGTGTATGTGTGTGTGTGTGTGTGTGTGTGTGTGTGTGTGTGTGTATGTATGTGTGTGTATGTGATTGTGTGTATGCAATGGATATACCTTATTATTTTACTAGAGTGTGTGTGAGTATGTGACTATTTCATGGATAATCAACATTAAAGTAGTTTTTTAAATAAATATATATATATAATATATAATATAAAACAGGCTTTACTTTTAGTTTTTTTATAAAAAAATATTTTCAGAGGCTATAAAATATTGGGTAATAATATTAGAGAGAGAGAGAGAGAGAGAGAGAGAGAGAGAGAGAGAGAGAGAGAGAGAGAGAGAGAGAGAGAGAGAGAGAGAGAGTTGTTTTATGCATGAAATATATATATATATATATAAAAAAAAGTTTAGATAATAAAATTAAAATGCACTTGTCTTATTTACAATTTTTTTGATGAAGGTCACATTTTTCAATTTTTAACAAAAATAAAAGTGAAAAACTTAATGATATTTTATATTAAACTTTTAGAAATTAAAAGTTTTATATAAAAATTTAAAACTATATAATACTTACAGTATATTGCAATTAAAATTTTTTAATACTGATTTATTTAATTTTTTTTTTTTAAAAAGTAATACGATATCTATACTTAATTAATAAAATTTTTTATAATAATTTTTTTTTTAAAAAGTTAAAAAAACTTATTATTATTATTATTATCAAACTACTAATGCTATTTATGTATTTAATATGAGTAAAATATTAATTTTATAATTGATAATAATAATAATAAGCTTATTATACAATTAGACTATTTAAATAATATAATAATAATAATAATATTAAAACTAATTGTTTAAATTGTTTTTTCATGTTTTTTTTGTTAATTATATTAATAATTATATATATATTAAGCTTTAAACAATACAATGTATATATATATATATTGAAACAATTTATATATATATATAAATCAATATTTCTAGTATGTATTAATTGTTTAAATAATAATAATAATTACATAGAAATCCAACAAAAATAAATTGATTTCTACTAATGATAGTAATAATAATATTAATAATTTTTTTTAATAAAATCCGATTATTTTATTTAATTTTTATCCTTATATGCTATAAGTTTATTAAAGTTTATTACAGCAAAATAGTAGTAATAATAATAATAATAATTTGTATTTAGTTTTATTTTTAATTGATTTTTTTTGTATATATATATTTATTATTCATATATTTTGTATCTATTTATATATATATATATATATATATATATATATATATATATATATATATATATATATATATATATATATATATATATAACTTTATATAAAGTTATATAAAACGTGACTGTATTTGTCATTATACTAATAGATTTTAACAAAATAATAATAATAAAAATTAATATATCAATCAATACTCTAATGAATTAATTTAATTAATCAATATTAATAATTATAATAATTGATTTTCAAACAAACTTTAAAAGGTTTGTTTTATGGATTCTATATGTTTGTGTGTGTGTGTGTGTGTCTGTGTGTCTGTGTGTCTGTGTGTTGGTTTTCAAAGTGCGAATTTTAAAATTTTGATTTCAGATTTAGATTCTCCATCAAAAATAAGGTATAGGGGATCAGCATTGAAATTTTGATATCTCTTCAGGAACATAGAGAAAATGGCGGCCAAAGTACAAAAAATTATGTTATCAGATTTAATAAGCTTAGATAATCTTAAAAATTAAAAATATTATGATTCTATATAAAATTTTATTTTATATATACATAAAAATGGCTGCTAATATACAAAATTTATTAAATTAAAAAAATAGTATATTATTTACTACTATAGAATACAAATTTAAATTTAAACAAAAATACTGCACTTTTATATAGTAATATATAGTAATACATAGTAATATATAGTAATATATAGTAATATATAGTAATATATAGTAATATATAGTAATATATAGTAATATATAGTAATATATAGTAATATATAGTAATATATAGTAATATATAGTAATATATAGTAATATATAGTAATATATAGTAATATATAGTAATATATAGTAATATATAGTAATATATAGTAATATATAGTAATATATAGTAATATATAGTAATATATAGTAATATATAGTAATATATAGTAATATATAGTAACATATAGTACTATAATACATAGTAATAAATGGTAATATATATACATACAATACATACAATACATACAATACATACAATACATACAATACATACAATGCTTACAGTACTTACAATACTTACAATACTTACAATACTTACAATACATACAATCAACATTAATAATTGCGTTAACATTAATATTGCGTCAACATTAATATTACGTCAACATTTAATAATTGCGTTAACATTAATAATTGCGTCAACATTAATAATTACGTTAACATTAATAATTGCGTCAACATTAATAATTGCGTTAACATTAATATTACGTTAACATTAATAATTGCGTCAACATTAATATTACGTCAACATTTAATAATTTTAAAAAAGTGAAATTATTATTTCAAGTCTCAGTTCAAGTCGAGCCATCGAAGGGACAACATGTAAGTCAAATTTATTTCTTAATTAAATATAATTATTTTAAATATATTAATAATTAATTATTAATATTTATTTTTTATTTGATATTTGTGATTTTAATAATTGCGTCAACATTAATAATTGCGTCAACATTTATAATTGCGTCAACATTAATAATTGCGTTAACATTAATATTGCGTCAACATTAATATTACGTCATTTAATAATTTTAAATAGTGAAATTATTATTTCAAGTCTCAATTCAAGTCGAGCCATCGAAGGGGCAACATGTAAGTAAAATTTATTTCTTAATTAAATATAATTATTTTAAATATATTAATAATTAATTATTTATTTTTTATTTGATATTTGTGTGATTTTAATAATTGCGTCAACATTAATAATTGCGTCAACATTTATAATTACGTTAACATTAATATTGCGTCAACATTAATATTACGTCATTTAATAATTTTAAATAGTGAAATTATTATTTCAAGTCTCAGTTCAAGTCGAGCCATCGAAGGGACAACATGTAAGTCAAATTTATTTCTTAATTAAATATAATTATTTTAAATATATTAATAATTAATTATTAATATTTATTTTTTATTTGATATTTGTGTGATTTTAATAATTGCGTCAACATTAATATTACGTCAACATTTAATAATTTTAAATAAAGTGAAATTATTATTTCAAGTCTCAGTTCAAGTCGAGCCATCGAAGGGAATGTACTATCGTACTATGTACGTAATATTTATTTTTAACTAATCATATTACAGATTATTGTATTATATATTAATTGAATATTAAAATTCAAGTCATATTTAAGATCAAGACATTTATGATTATTTGAATAAAATGTCTACTATTAATATGTGCAACATTTGTCAATTGAATGTCGAACTTATTCAATTTGCTCTAATGGAAAAACCTTGTATTCACCGCTTTTGTCCTTCATGTTTGATGTCACTTATAAAGACTGCATTCGATCAATTTAAAGATCTCAACTGTGCATATTGTCGTAATTTATGGATGAATAAAAACGAACTTAATTTTGGAGTAAAAGCACATCTTCTTCAACATCCTAATTACTTTGATATTCTTGAAATTAATGTAAACAATAACTATAATATAGATAATCAAAATATTATGATAAATGATCAAATCGTGTCTTCAGAAATTATTTTTATTGAAGAAATAATTACAATTATTGACTATGAAATTATAACTATTGATTAAATAATTTGTATAAATTTCATTAAAAGAAAATTAATTAAATAAAAATATTTTTGAAAAAATTAATTTGAATAATATTTTCTTTATTTATGTGATTACCTTTTTGTTGCGTCAACATTTTATTGTGTTATAAAGTAGTAATTGTAAGTCAAGTCATTTAAAATCTGTCATTTTAAGGCGAGCTATCGGAGAGAACAGTCGTAATTAAAATAAATTATTTATAAATCTAAATTAGTTATCTTTATTCATAATAAATATTAATATTAGTATAAAATAATTACTTTATTTATGTGATTACCTTTTTGTAACATCAATATTATTATTGAGTCAACATTAATACGTCAACAGTTTATTGTAATATAAAGTAATAATTATAAGTCGTCATTTGAAGTCGAGCTATCGGAAAGAACAGTCGTAACTATTATAAATTATTTATAAATTTAAATATGTTATGTTTATTCCTAATTGATATAAATATTATTTTCTTTATTTATGTGATTACCTTTTTGTTGCGTCAACATTTTATTGTGATATAAAGAAGATATTGTAAGTCAAGTCATTTGAAATCTGTCATTCGAAGTCGAGCTATCGGAGAGAACAGTCGTAAGTATTATAAAATATTTATAAATTTAAATTAGTTATCTTTATTCATAATTAATGTAAATATTAATACAATATTTTCTTTATTTATGTGATTACCTTTTTGTTGCGTCAACATTATTATTACGTCAACATTTTATTGTTATAAAGTAATAATTGTAAGTCAAGTCATTTGAAGTCGAGCTATCGGACAGAACAGTCGTAAGTAATATTATAATTTAAAAACGTCTTAATTTTATATAATTATTATTTTTAATTATTTAATAGATAAATAAATATGTCTGATTCACAAGATTTTGACGATGAATTAGATGCTATTCTTGCAAACATAGAATTTGATGATAACGGTAATGTTATTGATATAGCGCAAATATTTGACGAAGAATTTGATGAAAGCCTTCAAAATATTGAATTTAATAATTATGGTCAAGTTATGAGTATAGAAGAAATAGTTCATGATGTTTTAAATCAACTTGTCATTGATGTTTCTCTTGAAATTAATGCTTCTGAATCTTGTGAGGAAACATCAAACGAAACTTCTGACGAAACATCTGGCGAAACTTCATCAGAAATGGATTTTGAAGAAGAAAATGAATCAGATGATGAAATGGATGACGATATTGAAGATATATTAAACAATATTAATACTAACAATGATATTTAAAGCATTGTTATTACATCCATTGTTATTAATCTATATAATTTTATATAAAAAACAATATTCTCATTTTTAATACTATTTGGATTTGTTTATTATTAATGATTAACTTTAAAAATAATTAAAAAAAATTTCTTAATTACTTTATCAATTAATTTTATTTAAATCTTGTATTTAATAATTTATATGTTTAAAATAAAATAAAAATTTTATATAATATTGAGTTATTTATTTTTAATTAAAAAATCTTATTAAAATGCAAACCCTAATATGAGTTTTTAAAGTTTGTTTCTGGCAATGCTTTCTAGCATTCTCAACTGGTTTTTATTGTACTGTATATTAATATTTTATTGATTTTTTTATATTAATAAACAAAAATATTATTAATAACTTAATCTAGAAAATTATTATACTATTCAAAAATAATAATAATAATAATAATAGATAAATTATGTATTTAATTACTATATTATAATATTCAAGTATTAACTATTAAATTTTTTATTTTAAAAAATAAATAATAATAATAATTTATCTTATTTTAGTGATACTGACATATTTATGCTATCATTTAAATAAAAATAATTAATGAATAATAATATTAATAATATTAATAATTTTTTAGTACATATCTATAGTTAATCATAATTTGAAAAATTTGAAAAATTACTAAATATTTTAATTTTTGTTGTTAAAAAAATTAGATAATTAATAATAACATTTAAATTGATATAAATTTGTTTTAATAAGTTTTATAATGTCTTTAATTAAAAAAAATTATTTTATTAATTTAGTAATTTTCAATTAATTATATTTTAATATTATTATTATTATATTAGTAATTTTTTTTGTTTTACAATAATATATATACGTATTTTAAATTAAAAATAGTAACAAAAATTTTGTAACTCATGTAAAGTGCAATGATTTTTGCAACATTTGTTTATTAATAAATTGATTTCCACATTATTATTATTATTATTATTATTATTATTTGTATTAATTTTATCAACAATTTTTATTTCCTCCGCAATTATGTTATCTGAAAAAATTTTAAAAAATAAATGAAAAAAAAATGGGAAAAAATGATAATTTTTTAAATTAAATGCGAAATAAATTTATTATGCAATTTAATAATATTTTTTTTTTGTAAAAACAAATATAATTTATACAATAATTTATGATATTTTATATTTTATAATAATAGTATGATATCATATTAAATAATAATTATAATTATAAATATATGTTGTATTTTATTAAATAGTTAATAAACTTTTTTTAAAAAAAAAGATATTAGCAGTTAATATGCAAAACACATTAATATTACAATAGGCAATAATTTAAGTATATTATGTAAATTTATATATATTTATATTATAAGTATATATATTATAAAATATATATACAGTATATTATACTGTAATAACTAATGTATACAAAATAAAATAAGTGTTTGATTTATTTTAATAGTATATTATATAAAAAGATATCTATTTTTTGTTGTTGTTATATACAGTTAATACAAATATCTTATATAAAAATAATTTATTTTTTTAGTATACAAAATATATATAAAGATAAGTAATAATAATAATAATATTAAAAATAAGATATATATATATTATATGATATTATACCTGAATTATTATCATTTATTTTTTTGGACGATAGATATTGCATACAAATAATAGGCATTAAATGTCCAAACAATTGCCGTTTGCATTGATTTAGTTTTTTTATGGTTTGAATTTTACTTTCAAATATAATCCTATTATTATTATTATTATTATTACTGCTATTTGTATTATTATTATTATTATAAACTTTTTTTATGTTGTTGTGACCATTGATACTGAAAATTTTTGTATCAATTTTTGAATTATTAATATTAATTCTATGATTTAGCAAATAGTTATTATAGTAATAATTATTGGTATTATTATTATTATTATTTTCATTAAAATCAATGTTTGATTTAGTTGATTGAATTTTTCTAGTAGTAGTAGTGTATTGATGATTGTCATTGACATTGATTGCCAAACAATGATAAATATTTGTACAATACATCAATAATAATAATAATTTTATTATTATTAATAATGGCATCAATAAAACATTAAATCGATTGCCTATCAAATACATAATGGCTTTTATGGATTATAAAAAAACTATATATATATATATACAGTATATATAATATTATTATTATATATAAATTTATTTATTTAATATATCAAATAAAACTTAAACAACAACAGCAAAAATGTCTATTAAATATAGTTATATTATTATATTATATATATATATATATATATATTGATGTATTTGATGTGTTGAAAGTAATATATATATACTTTTTAAAGTACAATAATTTAATATTTATTACAAAATAAATCAAATAATAAATTTAATATATATATAAAAAATATATTGTCAATAAAAAAACAATTTAAAAATTTTATTAGTTTTTTATAACATATTTTTTTAAAAATAAAATGTTTTTTAAATTTAATTGTTTGACTGTTACATGATTTAAATGTAATGTAATAATAATAATAATAATAATAATAATAAATTACATATTTTTTCACTTATTTATTTATTATTATATTATTAGAAAATAAAAATCAAACAAACAATTTAGTGATAGTGTCTAAACATATGTATGTATTATTAATATAAATTAAAAAATCTATATTTATACTAAAAAAATTTATAATTAATGTTATTTTGCAATTTATTTACTATATGTACTATATTTTACTATAAATATATGGTTTAAATATGTTATAAATTTTAATATATATTTATTAGATTAATTAGTTTACAATAGTTTAGTTTGTTTAGCAATTTGTTTATTAGATTTTATTTTTAAGTACACGACTGTCTGAATAACAAAAACAACTTTGATTGCCAAAAGTGTATCAATTTTTTATGTTTTTTATCTCTCTCTCTCTCTCTCTCTCTCTTAATGGATATTTACTGTATATATAGTTTGATATAAATAATATATATAATGATTGATAATATAAAAAATTTATATTACTTTACTATTATGTAGTACTATATATTGTCAATAGATTTTTAAATATAAAGTTAGTTACATATAATGTTTAAATACTATATTTATATTATATATATATATAGTATATATGATATCATATTAAATATCATATTAAAAATAATAGTCAATTAAACAAAAACAAAAAGTAAATCATTTTTTTTTTAATAAATTTAGTATTTATTGATTCTTCAAATATTTATTCAAATATATATATATATATATCATATATCAAACATATATCATATTATAATTTATTATTATTTTATAAATAGTTGGTAAACATTGATTTTTACTGTACTAATAATATAAATTACATCTAAAAACATTAAATAAAAATAAAAGATATTATTAAATATAATGTATATAATTATATATATATAATATTAGATATAATGTTAAATAAAGTAAACATATATTTATTTATTATGACTTTAGACATTAAAAACTGATTTAATTTAACATATTTTTATCTCTCTCTCTCTCTCTCTCTCTCTCTCTCTCTCTCTTTAAATGTTAACAATAAATATTTTATTTTAAATTGAAAAATAATACAAAATATATAAATTAGATTTGATTTGTCATTTATATTTAATAATTATATACAATATATTTATTATATTGTATATATTTATTATATTATATATATATATATTGTATTTTAATTATAGACTAGTATATAATTTGTATAACAAAATATTTGTCATATAATTTAATTATTATTGTCATAATTATTATGACAGTTAATCAAAACCTAATAATTAAAAAATAATTGAATAATAAAATCACTTTATATTTAATTAGTTTTTTTTATTTTGTTATTTTGTCTTAAAAATATATTATTATTAATAATAATGTAATATTATTTTTATATTTCATTAAAATATTTTCAAAATAAAAATAAATTACTAGTTGTTATATATAGCATCAAATTATTATTATTTTATTATTAAGTAGTAGTTTATATATTTATCAATATATATATAGATAATGAATTTATATTAGTAATTATCTTAATAAAAATATATAAACACTACACTAAAAAACATACAAATATACAGTAAAATACATTAAAGTTATTGATTAAAAAATATATCAACAACAAAATGATAACATAATAATTTTTATTAATATATATATATATATTTATTGATCCTATAAATCCTAAAATACTGTATTATATTATATTTTTATAACAGTTATAAGTAATTAGTTTTCTATTTAAAGACACATTTTACACATACATACATACACACACACATACATACATACATACATACATACATACATACATACATACATACATACATACATACATACATACATACACACACACATACATACATACATACATACATACATACATACATACATACATACATACATACATACATACATACATACATACATACATACATACATACATACATACATACATACATACATACATACATACATACATACATACATACATACATACATACATACATACATACATACATACATACATACATACATACATACATACATACATACATACATACATACATACATACATACATACATACATACATACATACATACATACATACATACATACATACATACATACATACATACATACATACATACATACATACATACATACATACATACATACATACATACATACATACACACACCAATATATATATATATTATTTATCAATAATCAAGGCTAATTGCTATCATAACATATTGATGTTTATTACTAATAATAAGTTATTATACAAAAATAAAATCTATAAATAGTTTATTTTTCAATTATAATAATTATAGTGTTTTACAGTAAAATTTATCTATATATATATATATATATATATGTGTGTGTAATATATGCTTACGTAATGCAACATTATTTTTGGTTATTAAAAAAAATTTCACATAAATATTATATTATGCATATATATTGAATAAAATATACATAAAAATTACATAAACTTTTATATGTGTTGTTATTATTGTTTAGACAATTAACGACTTAGGTATTCACAAAAAAAATATATAAAAATATTATTTTTTTCAACTCTAACAACAAAATGATAGTTTACTTATATATATATATATATATATATATATATCCTATGATATTATTAATAGATTATCRCAACAATCGTGAATCACATTTACAATTGATTAAACTAAAAGATAAAATATAATAATATATATATACAGTTTATATTATTTATACAAAAATAAAATAAATCAATAGAAAAATGTTTTAGTTTTTTTTTGGTTGAATTGTAAAATAAAAGCTAATTTTTGAATTATTTTTTTATTTTCCAAATAATCTAAACTAAATACCGACTAAAAAGTTTGGATTTTATTTTTGTTGTTTATTATCTTTAAAAAAATAAACATTTTTTATCAATAATAACTTATAAAGTAATTGACAATAAGTTACTTTTAATTAAAAATACAGTAAATCATTGTATTTAAATAACATTTATATTGATATACTGTATAATAAGCACATTAATATAACATTAGCATAATTAATTTAATTAAATTATTTATAATATAATATATTGTGAAAAATTCATTAATCATCAATTGTTTATTGGATACATACACATATACAAACACACATACATACACATACACACATATATACACATATATACACACATATATACACTCACATATATACACACATATATACACACACACATATACACACACATACATATACAAACACATATAGACACACATATATAGACACTTATATACACACACATATATATACACACACATATATATACACACACACATATACAAACACATATACACACACATATACACACATATATACACATATATATACACATATGTATACACACATATATACACACATATATACACACATACTGTACATACACACACACACACACACACTCATACATTACAAAATAATTTAATTATAAAATCASATAATTTTACACWTATAATTATARTATTATTTTTATTWTRTAACCATATAAATATTTAAATCTTRWATATATAAAATATACTCTATATATAAAAGTAAATAATATTAAATTATAATTTAATTGATCAAGACTAATGTTAAATTTTATTTATGCATTTTTTTCATMATATATAAATTTTATTTTTAATAATAAAATATTTTTATTAATTATTATTATTAGTTTACATATTATTGATTTTAGTGATTAATATTTTTGAATTTTTTAACAATAATAATTTTAAATGTTTRATAATTTTTTTAATCCTWTTAATTARTTTATATATATATATAAACAAAACTTTGTTTATATGTGTGTAAATAAACTGATAATATTAATAATAATAATTGTTTGTAAAAGTGATATTAAACACAAAAATTATTGGACTTTTTATTATTAAAATCCTATTAAAATTGTATTAAATATTTTTTCAAATCGTTTGCCAATCTCTGTGAACCATAAGTATAGACAACAATATCGTTGTCGTTGTTGTTGTTGTTGTTGTTGTGATATTTGMTTTCAAATAAATCTTTATATTTATCATATATTTTCTTTGCCAACTCAATGGTATTGCCTGTGTATTTGATTTTTTTAATAAAAATAAAATTTTATATATTATTATTATAGTTTACATTGTATATATAAAGTATATATAAAAAAGGATTAATATATATATATATAYTTAAATTTTATATATCACATAAACACATACACACATACAAAYAYATACACACATAYAYATACACAWATACACACACATACAAACATATACATACATACATATACATACATACATATACATACACACATATACATACACATACACATTCACACACATACATATACACACATACACATACAAATACACACACATACATATAAATACATACATATACACACATACATACACATCAATACCTTTAGTTTCAATGGGATARTCATTGTTATTGTTAACAAAYTTTAGYTCAACATTTTCAAACACATCCTTATTATAATTGTTTTGATTGTACGGTATTTTATCAATCAATGATTATTAAGTGTATCAATAAATAGCTGCCACCGGGGCTTATAGTAGTCGGCAAACAGTCCCGACCAATGTTTGCACGCGTAGTCTAATATCTATTAAAAAAAATATTTAATATAAATTTAATAATTATTKTATTATTATTSTAATATATTTGATGTATTTATTATTATAYTTAAAAAAATATAAAAAATTATAWTCAGTATTATATATCTAGAAATTTTTTTATATATATATAAACTTATATATAGTTTATAAAAAATAAGCTAGTTCAAATTTTTCAATATRTGTTTATATATATATATATGTATTAATCAATTATATAATTTTATTTATATTAATATAAATTAATTATTTAATTAACAATTATTTWWAAAAAAWTAAATTATAAATCATATACAGATAATATTGTWGTATATAATTAAAAATAATAAATAAAAATTATACTTTAAGTTAAAGTTAACAAAAATATATATGTTTAACTGTTTTATTTAGTTAATAAACTATTAATTATATTGTGATTTATTTATCTCACTAACAATAGCAACAAAATATACATTTAATATAAAAAAACATTTAAAACATAAAATGTTTTATGAAATATAAAATATGATTAATAGTTTTCTATGTTATAATATTTTATGATTTTATTTTATGTATATATATATATATAAAGTAAAATTAATTATATATAGATTAAGTGGCATTATTTTATTGTGATATATTAAAAAATATTTCACAGTTAAACTACTCTATAATAATAATAATAATATATTTATATTTATTTAAATTAACTAATTTTATAGATATGCTTGAAAATGTATATTTAATAATATTATTATATTGTTTTATAAATTTTTTAAAAATAATTGTAAAAATTTTGTGTTGAATTTTTTTTTAAAAATATCACATATAATAATCATAATAAATATAATTAACAAATAATAATAATAATATTTTACTTATTATTAATTTTATTTATTTAAATTAACTAATTTTATAGATTTGCTRAAAATATATATATTTAATAATATTGTTATATAAATTTTTTTAAAAAAAATTATAATATATATTGTGTTTTCATATTATTATAATAATAATAAAAAATATAATTAACTTATAATAATATTAATAATTAAAATACAAAAAAAATACATTACATTAGCATTTGGTCCCCAAATTGTTATCTGATTTCTTGCTTGATATGCATTGATATGTCTTTCCTATAAATTTTTTTATTATTTAATTTTATTATTTTTTATTATATTTAATTAAATAAATTTAATTTRCAATTACCTGATCGCCAACTGCCTGTTGTTTGGCATTGTTTAGCCATTTTCCCAGCAAAAAGTTTTCATTAGTTGCCAGTATATCGTCCATATCATCCAATATACCCAACAATTGATTGGCTTTGACCACAAAATCGGTATGATTTTTATCTACATAAGCTTGAACCAGTTTATGATAACAGGTATCAAATATTAATTGCAATGACTGTCTGGTAATATCAACCAAATCGTATCTGTTTATTGTTGGTTATACAGTATCATATATATATATAATTAGTTAATATACAGTATATATATGATAACAATATAATTTATATCTATATATATATTGTTAACATTTAGCATATAAGGTATTTAATTGCATGTATGTTGTGTGTGTTTATGTGTATGTTTGTGTATATGTGTGTATTTGTGTGTATATGTGTGTGTATGTGTGTGTATATGTGTATATGTGTGTAAGTTTTTATGTATGTATTTGTATGTGTGTGTGTGTGTGTTTGTGTTTAGGTAATATTATTATTTGAATAAAAAAATACATTATATATATATATGTATTACATTTATTGATATATCAATATATTAGTTAAATGTATAGTTTTAATATACATTAAAAAATTTACCCAACAATTTATCATTTACATATTAATAATTTATTAGTTTTTTTATTTAAAAAAATTGTCATTATATTATGTAATATATGATATATCTATTATTATTATTATATATAATAAAGTACAAAAATAATATGTCAAATATAATATATATATATATAATACAACAAAAATTTAATGTCTATTATCTAATTTACTAAATAATATATTAGATTATTTTATTTTTATTTTTTGATTTTTATTTTGTTGCATAACTATGTATGTAACTATTGATACTGAATATTGCTACACACAAAATAACCAATATTGATTTTAGACAATGATTTTTTTTTATAAATAAAAATAAATTGTTGCAACAAAAATCACATATATCAATATTGTTTGGACATATAATTAATGTCACTGAATATTAAATTATTTAAATAAATATATCAAATGATTGATTAATGTGGTGTGTTTAT